ACTTTAACTTTATTGTCTCACTCAGAAAAAAAAATACATTAAATTAATAGAAAATTTGAGGCGAAGTTCAGCTTCGAAGTAATTCTTCTTAGCTGCTCTTACACTTAACCTCGTTGGTGGCATACTAAGAATGTACAAATACAGCTTTAAACTTAAACTTACTATAACATAATCATCATGGAAAAAAAAACAAATGCAAGAAAGAGATGGAAATGTTTGCTTTTATGTGTTCGACTTTGTAGCACTAGTACTTAGGTGTTCTTTTACTTTCTTCCGAAACCTGGATAAAGGTAACAACTTGAGATTATCAGAGAGATCGTTGTAATAATGTGCAATGCAGTAGGAAAATGATCTGCGCCCTAGTTCTGTTTTAATGACTGGTATACTTAACTTGCCTCTAAATCTCAAGTTCAGGTGGTGTACGTCCGTGCGGTAAGTTATTTTGTTGTATAAGTATGGTGGCGTTTTGGTTGAAATTATTTTGTGATACAAACACAGCATGTGTAGTTTTCGACGGTTGAGCATGGTTAGCCAATCGACTTCTATTAGTTTATGGGAGATTCTGTGATACTTTTTAATGTTAAATATTAAGCGTAGACAAGTATTTTGAATTTTTTGTATTCGTGCAATGTCTCGCGAATCTAGACAAGGCCCATATACTGTATCACAATAATCGAATTTAGACAACACCAGGGAATGGCATAAAAGTGTTTTAATTTTCCGTAATTTTCCGATTCAGAATGTACCTATTTTGATAAATTAAACGCATACTACAGTAAGCATTTTGTATACATTTAGAGATATGCTGTTTATAACGAAGAGTGTGGTCTAGTGTTAGACCGAGGTTTTTAGCTGTTTGCATAATTGCAATACTTTCGCCATTTATTTTAATGTCGATATTGTTGATTATTCTTTGCCTATCGTCACTTCTACCAAATAGTATAACACCGCACTTGTTAGGATTCAGTATTAGTTTATGATCTTTACAGAATTTGCTGAGTTTGCTTAGATCTTTATTAATTAACTTACATGCATGATCAACATCTTCGGGTGCAAAGCTCAAGTACAGCTGTGAGTCATCGGCGTAAAAATGACAGACACATGACTCGATAACATTTATCAATTGTGAGGTATAGATTGAGAAAAGTATTGGGCTTAGAATAGCGCCCTGGGGGACACCGGATTTTAATTCCAAAAACTGAGACCGTTGGTTATTTACAATTACGGATTGACTTCGGCGGGACAGATAGTTTTTTATTAATTCAATTGCGCACACTTCTAATCCAACATGACGCAGTATAGCTAGTAGGACCTCATGGTCGACTGTGTCAAAGGCTTTTGAGAAGTCTAAGAGCACCATAATAGTAAGTCTTTTTTGATCTGTTGCTAATATAATGTCATCTGTAATGCTTAGCAAGGCTGTGCTACAGCTGTATCCGCGCCTAAATCCGGATTGATTTACTGGCAACACGTTATTACTTTCAATGTATTTCCGGAGTTGTTTTTCTACAAGTTTTTCAAATATTTTTGAGAGCGTTGGGAGTATACTTATGGGTCTCAGGTCTTTCAGCTCACTAGGTTTGTTAATTTTTGGTAATGGAGTGACGAGGGCCTGTTTCCATTGTGATGGAAACACAGAATACTTTATGCAAAAATTTATAATGTGAGTTATTACAGGGAGTATAAGGGGTACGCACAGTTTAATGATGTGAATGTTAATTCCATCAACACCAGTAGCATTTGTTTTTATTGAGTCTATGACGTGTAACACTTCTACCTCCTCAACTGTTTTAAATTTTAGTGTTTTAGCCGGACCTCTGCTTTCGCCAGTATAAAGAGGTTCAGTATTCTGGTCATTAGTCTCAACTTTTGGAACGCAGTCTATAAAATATGCATTAATTTCATTTTCATCAGATAAGTTATTCGGGAGTGATTTATGTTTGTCTTTATTTAACATGTTCAAAAGAGAGACGTTTTTCCAGATGGAATTAGCATTTTCTGCAAATGATGTGTTCAAATAAACTTTTTTTTCGTGTCTTATGGCGTTTGTAACTGCATTTCTTAATACCTTATAATGGTTCCATTGTGCTATGTCTTTCGTGTTTTTAAAGCTGGATAAGACTTGATCACGGAGGCCCATCATAATTTTGATGTTGTCCGTTACCCATGGTGAGAAGTGTGGTTTTTTATATCGCACTGTAACACGTGGAGCATGTAAATCCAAGAGAGTTTCTATGCTATCCACAAGAAAGTCAATTTTGATATCTATATTATGGATTTGGTAAATATTTCGCCAGGGGATGGAACTTAAATCATCTCTGAATTGATTGTAATTAATGTTTTTAAGGTTGCGAAATGTGCTTACCGTACACGTAGGTGGTAAGATTTCCACTTGAATTGTGCAAGTAGTGACGCAATGATCGGAAATATCATGTGCATCCATAACCGATGCTTCATTAAAAGTATTTGTGTTTGTAACCAGAATTAAATCAATAAGTGATTGGGTATTTCCCGTAATTCGAGTTGGTGCTGTTATTATTTGCTTAAGATCTACAGAGCTCATGAAATCTATTAAGTATGATGTAGGGGTACTAGACGTGTCCAACATATCAAGGTTGTAGTCCCCGAAGCAAATGATATCTGTGTGAATTCCTAGTAGGGTTAAAAATGTTGTCTCCAAAGAGTCCACAAAGCTTTTATAAAGACTACGAATCGGGTTATAAACAACACCGACAATAAAGTTACACCGGCTGTGTTTTATCTGTATCCACAGTTGTTCAATGTCCGAGCTACTTACCAAGCTATCAAAATTTAGATAATCCTTAACGTAGAACGTTACTCCACCTCCGCGAGTTTCCCTGTCTTTTCTCACAATATTATAGCTATCAATATGTATTGAGACGTTGGGAATTTCAGGTTTTAACCAGGTTTCGGTGCAAGCAAAAATGTCGTAATCCTGCAAAAGTATAAATTCTTTTAGTATGTCAAATTTATTTAGTATTGAACGTACATTTAAATGACCACATTTAAGTTTTTTTCCCATCAGATTATTCTCAGAAATACTACCTATTTTTATGCGACGACAAAAAAACAAAGAAAGGAAGAGAAAACAGAAAAAAAAAGAGAAAGAAAACAATTTCAAATTTTCCTATAAGAATTATCCGTAAAGCTAAGTACAAAGAAAACATAATGGCATCGTGAAGTGAGATATGCGTACGGTCTATAACTTATCTATCACTTTTATTAACAAAAATATAAATTAACCCGCAGCCGGACAATAACTTCATTGAGACCGTAAAGAAAAACTAAACGTTAAGTAGGTTAGCACTTATACCATACACTTTGCAGAGGGTGCCCTAAGAATATCACGGTAGCTGGTCTAAGGTTTTCACTAGCGTTTTAGCGTTGTTGTGGTAAACAAACACGTTTCCATCCAACGACCACACACTTCTTTTTCCAAATTTTTCGACTGCTGCTCTGTATACGTTCAGCCGGTATCTAGTTAGATCTTCCGCAATAACAATCCGGGAACCTTTCAAGAGATGCCTTTTCTTCAATGCCTCTGCACGGGTACGATAAGATCCAAATTTGACTATGATGGGCCTTGGTTTATCACCGGGCTTTCCAACTCGGTGACAACGTTCGATATCGCGAAGGTCAATATTTAATTTCAACAGGTTCTCACACACATTAATAACTTCCGTATCTACATTTTCATTCTCTTTCTCTGCTATACCAAAGATACGGATATTATTTCTACGGCCATATTGTTCAAGGTCATCTAACTTCATATCTGTCACCTTGATATTTTTAGAGTTTTCTTCTACCTTCTGTCGCAAATCGGTGACGGAATCTCGTATTTCTGCCATAAATCCGTCAATTTTTGCATTCATATGTGCGAAATATTTATCCAGTATGCCCACAGTGACGGTGGCTTGACTATCGCCCATCTTGGAGCTGGAACTTTGGGCCGGTACCTGTTCGTCCGATTTGTTTTTCAATGTTGATCTTGTATCAGGCATCCCCAATGAGCTAAAAAGTGTGTATAAAACACGACCTATCTAGTCTATAGACTACGGCTACAGATAAACCACAAAGAGAGCTGATTAACACTGTTTATTTAAAACTTTCCTAGACCGCACGTACTCGCATGTATTCACTCGGCCGCCATACTTGCCACCATTTCATTGTTCTCATTACTACCAGTATGTTACCTGCGCCCCTCGGGTTTAATTCTTGTTACGCTTTTTGCACTTGCGATGATTTACATTCCATTCGCAAATGCTCACGTTTCGTCCAGTCTCAGACTGCATAATTTGTATTTACGCATCTAAATAATGGACTTCATTAAACCTTTTCTTGAATGATCTTTTTGATAATGGAAACCAATATTCGCGACAACTTTTCTTAAGGAACTTGTCGACCCAATAAATACGTCTTTCTCTTCCAAAAGGGATTGAAGCGGAAGATGTTCCAAAATACAAACGTAAACTGCTTATTTAATATTATATTTG